TTCACAAGCCAAGTGAGAACAGGATTGGTGGGGCACCTCCAACGCAACGTGTTCGGGTACCGCATTGTGAATCACTTTATTTGGAGGAATGTGGCCTTTCTTCTGCAGAGGGTTAAGCACCATGTGTGCCACTGATACCCTGTGCCACCGTGCTGGCTGTGGCCCTGTCTTTCTGATTGATCCAAGCCTTTAGCGAAGAGGTAGGATCATTTATACCAGGTGTACGCTTGTGCCTTTGTAGGAGGAGAGAAGAACTTAGAAGTACCATTAATAACTGCAGTGCAGTAGAAAAAGACCAATAGCTCAGAAATGAAGTTATTTCAATCTCATTAAATATACCCATCCCCACAGAGGGTAAACCACAGTCACGTCACATATCTCCACCTCTGAAGCACTGATAGTTGTCTTGCAACACCAGTCCGGTCTAACACTGACTGGTGGAAGTCTGGAAGATCCTGTTTCCGAGGAGCACTAACAACACATTTCTGGGTGTCTCCTCCCTCATTTGTGTATCATAGCACTGCAGGTTGAAGAAAACTGCTCAGACTGCTTGATGAAAGCCACTTCCATGACAAGCCATTGCCGGTCCTTCATGACAATTTGACACTGGTGGTGTTTTTCTATTGCTTTGAACTGAATCAGGGTGAAGAAAGCAGAGCAAGTAAGGTGTGCGTCAGGAGTCTTCAGCATTCAGAACGTGGAAGGTCTTTCAGATCTTGATAATACTGGGTAATATGCCTCACGTACAAGCGTTTGCAAGGTTGTGGCTCTAAGCTTGTTTGTAAACCACAAGGCCAGGAGAGACCTCTGCAGTTATCTGGACTAAATGTTTGTGCAAGACAGAAAGAGATCACCCTTACTTGATGTGTCAGTCCCAACGAAGAGGAAGTAAGAGATATTTTGAAAATTGAACGTTGGATTTCAGTGAATTAGAGAGGGAGAACCATGAATGAAGCAGATTTTACAGCCTCCTAGATACACATTAATGTATCTTTTACTTAAATCCCATTATTATCTATGTGGGCGGAAGCTGCTGCCGAACAAAAAGATACCAAAAAAATCAGAAAAGCAGAGACCACTCCAGATGCCTGGTGCCTCAGAGCTCTCTGGTTTGAAGGAGAGGTTTGTTGGGCTAGGTGGGGCTGGCCGGCGAACTGACTGTCTACAGGGATGGCTTGGACCCATTTCTGAGTGTGTCACTCATGTTTGGGAATAAGTGAGGAGCTAAATTATAAATAATAGGGCAAGACTGCTGGGAAAGAAAGAAACCCCAGTAAACCAAAACAATCAGTTTGTTCTCTGGTGTTTCCTGTACAAGTAATAAAATCTAATAACTGAGTTGCTGTTAACAGTTAATGACCACTGCATTTGTTAATGGACCCAGACAAATGAGAGCAGTTTAATACAACAAACAGGCCATTAGTTGTATTAATGGTTGGCTTGTAGGAGTTAGTGCTCTTATAAACTATATTCTGCAGTTTATAATACCAGCACTTTATAAAATGACCTGGTGTTTTCCAAAAAATAAAAAATAATAAGGATCAGGTGAGCTCCAATTTAGTAGTGGAAAATAAGTATGCATGCTAACTAAGAAAAGCTGACATTAGGCTAAATCTCTCTTTCTAGTTTGCACTCGAATAAATCAGGAGCAACAGCAGACATACAAACCAGGGCTGATTCTTGTAGAGCTTAAATCAGTGGCAGCTTTGCTTTTGACTTCAGTGAGTTTTGGATTGATTCCGTAATTATTATCATTAGAGAGGAATTTGATCTTTTTTCCTTTTTTTTTTTTTTTTTCCCCAGACCACGAATGATTCCACACATGGGATATTCAGTTTTTAGGAGCTGTCATTATTTAAAGGTTTAACAAGCACTCTTATAGAAAGAACTATAAAAAGGAAGTTGTATAAATAGACTAAAATTAATAGAGGAACCAAATAGAGTTAGTTCCTGCTTCACTAGCCTCTACAGCTCTTTTAATTTTTGTATTTTTAAAGCGTATTTAACTGCAGTCCCATTTACAAGAAATGTCAGTAGCATTTTTGCAATGGTAGTTGTGAAAGCCAAAGTTTTTCCATCGCTTTACAGACTCATTTCTGAATGTAACCAGTGTTCGGTAGAAATTTAAAGTGCAGCAATTTAAGCATTTGCCCTTAACTTGCCAAATGGGGATGATAGTAAATTATTACAGAATTATAGGTTACTGGTGAAGGGAATAATGCACACTTCGGTAGGAAAAAGAAGTGGAGGTTTTTACATGGTGCATGAATGGGCTCTAATTTGTGTATAGCTGTAGTGCGAGCTGAGGCCAGACTTAAATCATAAACTTACAACAGGGCTTAGCCAAGCTCTTTGGCTTTGTTTGTGGAGCTGAATCGCAAGCTTTCCAGATAGACTCCCAAAAACATAAGAGAGAACTTGCATAAACCTATCCTTAAGGTTACTGTGACCTGAAGGAAGAATGCAAGAGTAAACCCGGAGAGTTGTTCCCCTCTTTGGCCATTCACCCACCTGCAGGGAATGGTGCCTAAACCTAAACTAAAGAGGTGTCACTCCTGAGTTTTCTTACTTCAATATGGAAATTACAATCCAGAGGAACATGATAGGCACACTGGGTTCCTCCCAGATTCACCATGCCTCAGCCATGCTGTTCCAAAGAGGGGCCAGTAACTGAGGCTTCAGAGTAAGAAATAAGATGCTTAAGCAGAAAAGGGTGAGAAGTAAGAGAAACGCAGAGTGGTCCTTCCTCTGTTGTATCCTCTCAGCTGGCAATTTGTGGTTTAAGTTGTTCCTGGGCCAGGGTTTATCTCATGGTCAGTAGCCACGAGTAAGTCTATCCTCCATAAATATCTCGCCCTTTCTGAGGCTATTTCTATCTCTGGCCTCCATTTTTGGCAATGATTTCTATATCATAACTATGCATTCTGTGAAAAGGTGTTTGCTTCTGTATGTTTTAAACCTGCTACCTCAAAATTTCAGCAAGTGCCCTTTCGGTCTTGTCTGGGAAAGAATGAAAAACCCTTTCCCATTCATCCAGCTCATATGGTTTATGATCGTACAGATCTCACTCACATTTTCCTCTTCAGTCGTTCTTCCCCAGACCCAGAAATCTTAAGCTAGGCAGGCTCTCTCCCTTCACAATCATGTTTCATGCCTTTGATCACCTTTGTCATCTTTTTTCTGTGCCTTTTCTAGTTCTACTCCGCATTTTTTGAGAAGGAGGGAGAAGCAGTCTTGTGCACGATATAAATGGTAGGGGCGTATCATTTATACAGTGCCTGGGTGACAGTTTTGGCTTTGCTCTCACTTCTGTTTCTAATAATTACTAATAGTCTATTTGTCTTTTTGATAGTTGGTGAACGCTAAGCTGTTTTTTCCAGGGGGTTCTCCATCACTACACTAAAATCCTCTCCTAGAGCAGTAGAAGGTTAGTGAGATTGCCTATTACCTGTTTGTTTATGCTGTCGTTTACCTATAATTCAGATTGTACTGCCTCATGTGCTTTATTTTGTGTTTGTTGCCGTTGCATGCCATCCACCACGCTGCTGCTCAGGCACAACATCAGCAGATCTGTTCGTTCTTCTCCGTCGATTTCTTGAACAACGATGTGTCGTCGGCCGACAGCTCAGGAAGCCACGCAGCGTGGAAGCGCTAGGAAGAGCTCAGCCTCCCTGAACACTTGAGGGCACAAAATGAATCAACTTGCCACGTCTGGAGCCTGGTCTCTGAGCTCCTGCTGGGGAAGAGAAGAGAAGCCATGCTCCTGCAGACCTGCCTGGCACCGAGAGCTGTGCAAGGAGGTTCAGTGCAGCCATCACCAGATGGTGCTGCTGCATTCAGCCTCGCAAGGTCATTCTGTGCAGGGATGTTTTGATTCTTGGACGAAAATACTGAACTGGGGATGTTTTTCTGCTGCTTGGATGTCTAGAGAGTAGGCAGGATATGTTCTGACTTCATGTCGCTACTCAGTCCTCTTTGAGAACAGGACATTCGGGCTTTGGCTGGGAGTTCAGAATAGGGGTGTGTTCAGATGCTGTTCGAGATGATCTTTTCCAGACTGGTTCAAGTGGATAAACAGAATTAATTAGAGTCACATCATATGAGTCCACAGGATTGATTTTTTTTCCTCCAATGGAAAACTGGCTAGCAATGGGTACTGCTGCTCATCAAATATATTTATAACTAGAGCTCACCTGTTTTTTCCATAAGTTTTACAATACTTGATGGTTTTTTTAAAGGCCCAGGTACAGCAATCGTTATCACATGAGACTCCAGCGAACCACCGTATAGAAAAAGTTCTTTCAGCCCCCTTTCCTATTGCTATTATGTATGAAACTCCAGTGCAGCAAAGTACTTCACCTCGCGTGATAAAGCAGAGGAAACGGCACCCTCCGAACCTTTCACGAGCAGATTTTGGTCTACTCCCCGTTTGTGCCGGTAAATATGTGAGCCAGTCATTACTTCTAACAAGTTGTTTGGGAAGGCTTTCATCTCTGCTTTATCAGAAAACTGAAGAACAGGCAAAGAGAAAAATTTTGACAGTATTATAGCAGTTTGCGATTGTAATTCATGTTTATCTATTAACTGTATTCTTCTCCAACCTCCACGAGCTCTTGTGAATCTGATATTCAGACTTCTAAAAAGGGTTTATCTGCACTGTTGGGGGAGCCTACAGAGGCTTTAATTTCCACAAGGCAAATAGATCCAGCACAAGAAACTTAGAGGCAAACTGGACATGCTGCCCTAAGCCAAAATTTGTTTTTTTAAATCAACATTCTTCATTGCTATTGCGCTGAGCCCTTTGAAGGCCTCTGAGCCAAGTAAAATCTATGTTTGATGATTTGGAGTTCCGAGAGTGAGCGCTCCAGCCCTTATAAGGCCTTCAGCCTCATCCTGTGGACATTCATGCTGGGTGCTTTAAAGTTCAGGCCATCTTTAAGTCTTGTCTGCAGCTATGAGAGAGAGTCCTGGTGAAGTCTCCTAAGAACTGTGGGTTGCCCATGTCGGTCAGTATGGATTCTGTCCTGGCTCATAGGGTCTCCATGGGGCAGCTCATGGCTAGGAAGGATAGAGGTGATGAAAGCACACAATGACAAATAATGATGCTCTTGAGAAAGTAAATGAGGGGCTTTTTTATTTTATGATGTCATGAAAGAACAACAGTGGTGAATCAAGAAATTAAAGTGATAGCAGATATACAGCTGATTAAAAAAAAAAAAAAAGTTTATTTCTGACCAGCTCACTGCTGTGGGATGGATGAATCCAAGAAGGTATGAAGATTAAAAACAGCATATCTGTAGGGAA